ATACGAGTCCTAGTCTTTTAGAACCATGATGAGCTACCGCAAAGCCATATGAGGTAAATCTAAGTGAGAGTCAGCCTAGAGGTTGCAATCCAAAATCCGGTACCAATATTGGACAGCTTGTGACTCAATCACACCATGAGTAACTGACATCAAGAGTCACATACAAGTGTATGTCTCTCAAAAACTCTCACCAATCTTAAAGATTCTTCAACTTCTTGATCTTCACTATTTGATAGTTCTTCTTTAACCTCTTGAAGAACTCCGCAATTAGACTAAATGAATGTATGCCACTAGCAACTCCATTTAAGCTGCCAACTACGGTGCTACTAGTACCACTGCTAGTGTCTCCACTAGCTGTAGCACTTATACGTTCACTAGTTTCGCTGCTGATACTCCTACAAGCTGCTCCACCGATACCCCCACTAGTACCGTTACTAGAATTTTCACCAGCAGCTCTATCGATACTTCCGCTAGTACCGTTCATAGAATCTTCATCAGCAACTTCACCGATACTCTCACTAGTACCGTTCTTAGAATCTTCACCAGCAACTTCACTGATACTTCCACCAGTACCGCTCTTGGTATCTTCACTAGTGGTGCTACTCGCACCTTTACTACAATTTCTAGATTCTAGACCTATCATTTTCTAGAAGTGTTACTAGGAGGTCCACTTCTGCAATCCTCATGCTTCATTACTATTTTTCAACAAAGATAATTTGGGAGTGTTTTCCTAAATAAGATTTTCTAGAAAATAATCAATTACTGACTTTGCAGTTGACTTGAAATCCGTGAGAACAAGGGGACAAACGGAAATGCCTATGCTTTGCTAAACACTACAGCCATATTCTGACGCTCATCACGTTCACATTGAGGGAGCTAAGTAGATTCACATCCACCATCAACCATAGAAATCACTTGTCTTTTTCCTTCTCCACTTTCCCAAAAAAGTAATTTCACTTGCAAGCTTCTAGTGCGAGCTTTTGATTCACGACATCAAAACATCCCTCGTCACTTCCACAAGTAAAATTAGCATCATCTAACCCAGATTTCTATAATGAATCCGTCAAATGATACTTCTTGTTAAATAAACTTCAGTCTGCGACTAGTGCTCTAGATTACTTCAATTTCCTCCCACAACTCACATCCAATTCTGAAAATGTTTTGAAAAAGCAATTAACTGCATGGAATCTCTTCTCTTTCACTTCCGAATTCACACCAAAATTAGCTTCTCTACAATTTGAACTAGAGAATTTTATGTCACCTTAAAAGCAACTTGAGTTCTAACATCTTCTAACAACACACCGACGGATTCAACGTAAGTGTACTGAGTTGTTACGTGCAAATTTCACTAATTCAAACACAAACAATCACATCAAGTCAAGTCAAACCCACTCCACACCTTGAAGACTACGGATCGAAGCTCACGGGGACACCACAGCCAGTCAACTAACAGCTATCATAATGCATAAAGGCTCAACTCAAAAAACCGACAGCTCTTTGAGTTTGCAAAACTCTTTACTCTCCGACATTAGTGACTCATAATCCTAGTACAACACTAAATATAGACAACACGTGTGTACATGACACGATCATAACTACAAATCATTCAATTTCCACATGATTTTGAATCTATTGTAACTTACAATGCTATTATAATGAAATGAATCTCTTGAAATATCACACAATGTCTTAATTATGAATTTGCAAACTAGATAGGCAAATTCATTGCTGGGTTCATGCATTGTTTTTGCTAAATGCAATGTATCAAAAGTAAAAAGGCTAGAAGAGAAAATTACATGATGGCACTTGTGTCTACCACACATAGCTTACTACAATGTTGGAGTACCATAGAAAAAAGTAATACTTGTTGACTCCCATTAACCTATTTGTGTTTCGCAGGTTACCATCAAGTGAATCTCTCATCCTCGAAAGTCTACGAGAAACTATGAAGTCTTTCCTGGATATGAAAAACTTCATAAGGTGATGTAAAATTCATGAATGTATTATCTAATTTTGAAAATTTCCCTACTTTGACATCACGCAATATATATGTAATTGCTAATTTAGCTTTTGTGTCTTTAAGTTTCAAATTTATGACTTGGCACTCTTATTCTTTGGCATTTTAAATTTTTTGAGATACTTTACTCTCAGCATTGTGCTTCAATATCTAAAATATTGCGCAATTCAAATTCTGAGATATTTGCATGCTGATGCCTTTACTTTTCTGGCTTTTATTTCTGTAAGCATGGTTGAAACTCAGTTGATTTTGAAATAATATAGGCTCAGTTATTTAAATTTTGTGCAGCATTATAGATCACCTAAAATACCTATCAAGGTTGATATCAAAATTAGATGACATCAAAATTGCATCTCAATAAACGTCTTTTTATTTGTCATAATATCAAATGTTTTTAGTTTCAAAAAATTGCATTTTAGATATCTTGATGCCTTTTTCATCTTATTGAATTATTCTTACCTTGTGGACATCTTCAAAGTGCTTTGTAAATATATAATTTCACATTCATGTCATAAATGCTTTGACAATTTATTTTGATCTCTGCAATTATTATGATGTCCAATGAGATTGTGCAAATATCACCCTATACGTTCCAGAAAATGCTATTTTGAAATACTTTAAATTATCTCCTAATACGCATACCTTGGCGCTAATTTTTTTTCATCAGAATGAAGGAGCTCATTCTACACAGTTTTATTCATTGCACTTATCACATGCATATGTACTCTAAGTTCAGTATCATATATGCGAAATTTCTTGTTTTTATAGAAATTTGTGCATCTCACAATTCATCATTCATGCATGAAAGTCTTGTTTTTATGAGTTTCATTTACAAAAAAAAATCACATTTTTTTCAACCTCAAACACTACTCCGAATAAACTAATTAATTTTATCTTATAGAATATCTTTATCTAAACTATCAACCAAGTCTGCACCATAAACTATGAAGCCTACTAATTTTCTTTGTATCGGACCCAGCCATCATTCTTGGTCGAATGACCAGAACTTTTCACTACGTTAGCCTAGTTGCTTGATACTATTTAATCTCTATGTTGTATAGATCTAGCAGCATTATAGCCCAGAGATATAAGCCGACTTTCGGAAAAACTTTTCAATGACAAAAAAAAACGATACAAGCTCGATATTGTACCTTCGTAGTGAAATGTCATCTGAACTCCTTGAATAACTAGGTTCAGCCAAGGCCTGACAGAGGGCATGTACCTTCTGTCATGGTGAGAAAGATTGTCTACTGGAAAGATTTCCATTTCTCACAATTGTGCATTAATTAATCTCATCAGGTTAAGGATCTAACTACAGCACAGTGGAATTGCTACAAGATAACCATTCAATTCACAGATCAAAATTGTGAACATTTGTTTCAGCTCTGCGTACGTAAAACTTCCGAGAAGTCGTTCATAAAACTTCTCAGGAATATAATATTAACACCAGGAATCCTGGTCTCTTGCAGATTATGAGAACATTCAAGGAAAAAACTCTATGTTCATACAGATTTGTTTTCCATCCGCCGGGAAGAATACGAACCATTATATGTACAAGCAAGCGACGATACTGAAGAGGGTGCTGTGAAGTGGGAAGTGGAATTTCGATACTCGCTGCTAAATCACCAATTCATGCACATTTTGATAATCTGTAAAGAATAGATTCTCGGGATGAGATTTCTTTGCAACTTCAAACCGTTACGGCAGAACCAGATTAATCAACTAATTAGAATAAAATAACTTCACCATTTTTCACTCTGGATAAAGTTTTGAAACGACACACAGATGTGACGCCAAGCACTTGACGATCGCCTCGTTCCGACTCAAATCCTACATCCCTTGACAATGTGGTGACCCGGCGGACTTCAAGCATGAAAGGATACTGTTGTTGATTCTGTACGTGGAGAAAAACTTGACTGACATGGTTTCAGACTTGATATGCAACTGCTGATGTCCAGTCTGGAGACATTGGTGGCTCTGGCTTATGACCATCGTGCCGTACTCGTCTAGTACGTGATACACATTTGCCTCGGGGCCGGAAGTGGAGAGCAAAGTCCAGAGGAACTGGATATTTCTCATGCTGCGAAATCCAAGGAAAACTGCCCGAAAGAGGGTAACGGCATCTCACAGATGCGCTTGCCCATAATCTCAGACACGGAATTAGAGAAAGCTGGAAGATGAACGATCTTCGATACCTTTCTGATCAGACACGATCTTTGAGTATAACCATGGTGAAGAGGACAACGTATATCAAGATTGGATAGAATACATACAATCTGCTTTTTAGATCTCTAAATTTCGAGAAGAGGTCTCCAAAGAATTCGCAGCTGTTCTACGAGCTTTCAATGAAGAGTGGAATCGACGTGTTCCAGTCGTATGCATAATCCAGCACTTTATCAAAATTGATAAACTGCCATTACTATCTAATAGACGAAACGCTTCACATACGAATTGCATTCGATAGAAGGGGAGTGAGTATGAATACTTGGACAAAATTATCTCCACCGAAATATGTGGACTTTCTTCTTCCAGTCAGATCGCAGTTTGCTGATCCGGTCAACTTTCAGCCGTCGTTTCAACCCGTAGACTCAGATTGGCGGTCCATGTGCTGCTTGATGCCAAAGTGCACCGTGTAGTGGTAAAGACGGTGCAGTTGCTGTGAATTCAAGGACTAGTTTCGCCATTCTACTCTCCGCCATCCTTCTTAGTTTTTCTAGGCTTTCTAGCTAAGGTTTGGGACGGTTACCAGCAGAGATGAAAACGCTTTTGTCTGAAACCTTGCGCCGCTGCTCAAAAGGAATAGCCGACAGTAAGCCAACCCATACCTGTAGACGGCGGCCCTTGATAGCGAGATGAAGCTACAGGGCTGGAAAAAAAGCACGAGCCATGACTGGAACAGGCCTGCTTTTGCTCCTCTTCCTCCTCTCTGAAGGTGCAGCCCCTAGACCTGTCTGCCTTATAAACTCGTTCCTTCGGTCATATTCTCAGACAGTGAAGAAGGTCGACTGTCTGTTCTGAAGCTGACACTCGAGGCTGACAATCACTTGAGAAAACTGAGGTACGCTGAATGTTGGGTCGATCAGTACTGGTGTTTCTTATCACCGAGACAGAAAGAAGTAGATCAGTCAGAGACTCGTCAACCATTACATGGATTTAGTTAGTCGATCCAACTTCACCTTGACGGGCGACAAAGGAGCCTTTGTGGCTTATTGGACTGAATTTCTTTCGACAACTTGTGCCGTAGCTCTGGATGTATCTTGCTGATTCTTCTTCAATGGACAGTTGCAAATAGGTGCTTCTGAATTGCGGCCATGGCAGGCCACATAGAACTTGAGAGTATGCAGTCAGACTTTGCGCTTTAGAGTCACGCCCTTGACTACTTGCTGCTGTGTAATTGGATCATCTTGTTTGAACTTCCTTCTGTAGATTCTGCTGTGTAAGTCAAGATGGCAACTACTTTAAGACATGGCGGCAGTGCTGCATTGAATACTTCTGCGGTGAGATCGTCACAGGCTCAACATGTGGAGACACGCAGAGTTTGCTTTCTCGGAGACAATACAAAACTGAAACAGGGAAGTTTGGCCAAGTTAGCATCAGTCTTTGTACCTTGCGGAGATCGCTCTGCCACGCTTGGCGCTCTGAGGTACAAATGTCAGGACCTGAAGCAAGGGCAAATTTTCTTAGCCTTAAGGATTACAGATGTTTTCTTTTACGAGGATGTAGTGCGAGGATTTTCTTTTACTTATTTTGAACGTGTGGATAAGCGTAAGAGTTTCATTTTTGCGCATGTGATTTATCTAACCACACTGGTCCTCTATCAAGTCTTTTATGACTCATCTGCGGGTCAACTTAGCAATCAGGAATCACCACTTGCTACTTGTATAATCTAGTTCAAAATTATCACATTGCCATCCGATAAAGTTTAACCCAAAGTAGGAGATACTCTAGAACGTTCGGGCCTCATTTATGTGTCACTGCGAATCATAAGGTCTTCGATTACAGTTTTCTCCTGGTGCTGCGTTCGGTACTTCTTAATCATCCCACGTTCAAGTTTCCAACAGTATACATTCTTCTCTTGCTCAGAGCAAGAAATGTGTGTCCTGAGTTTTACATCGCTAAAACCCCACACAGCAGAAAAAGTACGAGAGGTCTAACGACGGTGTTACTCATTATGTGCGCAATGTTCTTAGTGTGCAGATTTCATACAGATTAACCAACACTTCCTACTCGTATATGTCTCGCAGAGTCCGGTGTATGGTGCTGGAAACCAAGTCTTCTGTGGAGAAGAAAACTGCTCTGCATGATCTCTATGAGAAAGAAGGTCAGAGTCCGTGGTATGACAATCTCAGCAGGCCTGTTGCAGATTTGAAGTCCCTTATTGATAGTGGTGTCCGTGGCGTCACCAGCAACCCCACGGTATGCACAGCAGTACGATACTTTTTTTTTCTGGAATGTGAAAGATTGCTCATTGATCCATTTCCATCCCATTCAAAAGTATCTCCTATCGGGCATGTTTTGAAATCCGATCACTGGTGGTACAGATTTTTGAAAAGGCGATCACGTCTTCTGATCTGTACGACGACCAATTCAGGTCAGAGAAGCTTTGTATTGCTGAGCTGCTTGATTTCGGCCCATTAAACTGGCTGCTTAAAATTTAGAAATTAGTTTGGAATGAGCCCGCGTTAAGGACACAAGTCGCGTGTGTTCTATATAGATTTAATTGCCAATTGATCATGTTGTTGTTACTTGAAACAGGCAACTCATGAACGAAGGAAACGGTGTAGAGGAAGTGTTCTGGGGACTTGCTGTGACAGATATTCAGGATGCCTGTGATTTGTTTTTGCCTCTTTATGAGGCAAGCAAGGGTGGAGATGGTTTTGTGTCGTTGGAAGTCTCACCAGGACTTGCTGACGATGGACATGGAACCGTCGTAGCAGCTGACCGATTGTACAAACTAGTCAATCGGCCTAATCTGTACATCAAGATTCCCGCCACTGCCGAGTGCGTGCCCGCCGTCAGAACTGTCATCTCTCAAGAAATCAGCGTGAATGTCACTGTAAGTTCAGACAGTGCAATTTACATTCTGCTAGATTAACCACACTGAATGCACAAATGTGCTGGCAGAATTCTGCATTTTTACAGCTAATTGGAAGTGCATCGTCTGTGCAGCTCATTTTTTCTCTGGCAAGGTACGAAGCCGTCATAAACGCCTATTTGGAAGGTCTGGAGGCAGTTAAGAATGAGGATTTGTCGAAAATCTCTAGTGTTGCATCTTTCTTCGTGAGTCGTGTCGACGTACTCGTTGACAAGCGACTGGAGAAGATCGGATCCGAGGAAGCGCTTGGCCTTCGTGGGAAGGTAGGATGTGCGCTTAAATTCCGTAATCTCGTCGATAGTCCAGCGTTCGATTTGCCTTTTCCCATGCCCGTGTGCACCATCAGCAATTCGAGAAGCCAAAGCCTTGCTTCTTTTAACCTTCTTAAATACTATCTTCAAGTTCCAAGTCCTTATTATTCATATTTATTGCCACAGGCAGCGAACGCCCAGGCTGCATTGGCTTTCAAGCTCTACCAGGACAAGTTCAGCGGTCCCCGGTGGGAGGCTTTGGCAAAGCGAGGGGCTAACAAGCAGCGATTGCTCTGGGCTTCTACCGGTGTAAAGAACCCAGCTTATCCCGATACTTTGTACATCGCTCCGTTGGTCGGTCCCGACACTGTAAGTCATGCCAGTCCCTCGTCCTTTAAACTTCTACAAGAAAAGTAGCTTAAGCCTTTGCATTAGTATGCATTGAAGTCATTAGACTATGTTATCAGCGGAATATGAACTGTTAGTCTTCGATTGCTTCACCTGTGCTTTAGTTTTATGTTGTGTAGATATAAGTTAAAGATATGGGATTCAGTTTAGGTGGGTTTAAACGATAGGATAGAAGGATACGACGTGATCACATGAAGGCTCTGGTTTGTTTACCTGGCGACTGACTTACAACTACTTCATTCTTGGAATCCAGGTAAACACTATGCCACTAAACGCCTTGGAGGCATTCGTTGATCACGGAGTTGTTTCCAGGACGATTGATGCAAATCTGCCAGAAGCACAAAAGATTTACGACACGGTTGAGGCATTGGGCATTCGATGGGCCGATGTCGGATCTCAGTTGGAGGCTGAAGGAGTGGCATCTTTCCAAACGAGTTTCAACAATCTTATCTCCAGTCTTCAGGCAAAGGCCGACAAGTTGTAGGGAAGGCTAAATGTTTTATTCCGTAGAATGATAGTGTTCTCCTAGAATCACGAGTTTGTGTACATCAGAGCTTCAATCAGTTACAGTAAGTTCAGGCTGTAGAAGACCGCATCCTTCTTGATGAAATCAGGTTCAGACTTCACGTAAACTCTTTTTTGACAGCCAATCTCGAATTAAAGTAGGGAGCTCCAATCTCAAACTGAAATAATCATTCATAACGTCCAGATCTAGTATCTGGACAAATTCGAGCATTCAATCCATCATTGATTTGCGGTGTAGAAATATGTCCTATAAGAATCTCTTCGAACTTCTTCCATTTTTCTGCTCCATTACAAATACTTTAATAAGAAAATAGTCTTCTTCTAACCTGTCCAGAAATTTCTCTTTCCATTTAGATATTTCGACTTGTTCACACTCTTGTCGCACGGAGGTGTTGGAAGTGACAAACCTTGGAAAGGATCACTACAAACTGGGTGCATTTATTAGAAATCAATATATTCATTAATGGCAAAACGAGAAAACAGTAATTACATTGTAATCAACGTGTTTTGAAGGATTGAAAGCAAAGATGGCTAGGACAGATAGAGAATCTTGACAGGCAAAACGTTCATACAGGCCAAGATAATAATATACGTTCTCCAGTCTCAAATTGTGAGGTTGCTTGTGCAGTTAGTAGACCTATGATTAGAACCCAAAATGTAATCGCTACTCAAGGGCGTGAAACGTGAAAAGTTGTAGCTTACACCCAAAGAACGTTGAAAATGTTTCAAGATGAACATGAAAGAGGGAAAATGAACGGTTTGTCCATGCCGCTGGCCGACTCAACGCATCCAGCTGTCTCACAACTGCCAACAATTTCTTGCCAACAGCATGATTTTGGAAGGTGTATATACTTTGGTTCCATATTTCTTGGTTCTGGTCTGTTTTAATCCATGAAGATATTTAACAGATCGTTCGCGATTTATTTATTTTACAAAATTAAGTCATCGTAAAGAACTAGCTTTAACATTCACTGTATAAAATTCCGATGAAACATAGAATAACTCAAGTGAGTCGATAAAGCTAAATAGCGTACATGATACAAGGAAGATGAACCAGCTTCTGCTTCAAATGTTTGAAGGTTTCTCTTGAATTACTTGTTGAAATGTTGAAATAGTATTAAACAGTCAATTTGTGATAAGAATCTTACTTTTATTATGTTTTGATACCCTAAATGAATTCAGCCATATCATGCTTCAGTTTTAACTGCTTTAGATATAGGAACTTTCGAAATACGCCTGAGTGATCAATGGCATACTTTGAATTTAATATTTCTAATTAATGATATGAAAAAGATAGTGAAATAGATGATCAAGAATGACAATAAATTTCCTAGTTCAAAAATAAATATTTTGAACTAGTTCAGAAGTTAAAATTAAAATAGAAATCTAGTTTAGAAGAAGACGATAACGCAAACAAAAATTAAGAATCGAAGCTCTATTAGGGTTGAAAGTGGTGCAGATTAGGGTTGGCTCTATTGGTGCAATATGCATCCGGGGCGCATGTGCATCTTGCCCTTTTTTTAGGTAAAGATATAGTTACAAAAATTATCATTCAAGATACATTCATGGATTTGGGAGAGAGATGATTCACAGTCATTGGGGATGACCATAGACGCAGATATTTACATGTCTAGAGATGGAGAGAGATGGAGAGAGATGATACACCCTCACATTCGAGACAGCAATAACCATGGCCAACGACTGTTCATCCTATATTATGATCGAGAAGTTACTAGGACTAACTCTGTGGATAAGATCAGTCAGTATTATGACTACAATAGTGGCGTATATTTGATCCACTTGCTTGGAGATGTATCTAGTGTCTAGACGAAGTAACAATATTTATTTCTGCTATATACTTGTGCAATTCTTAGAGTAGAAAACATATTGCTAGTTTCCAATTTATAATGAAGAATCTCAACCTAAATAATTAACCAAATGTTTTTGAAATTGGCAGACTTTGTACCAGGAACATATTAACAGATTTAAATTGACTTCTTCTCTGAACGCATAACGTACAAGCTATAGCAGATCTATAAATTAGAGGAACCAAATTGCACTTCCCATTTCACTCTCCGTCAAATAATTTCTATCATTTTCTGACAAAGTGAATTGACCTTCTTCATGAACCACAATCTTATGACCAGACTGTCAATGGCTGCTCTATTCAGTTACGGATTATGGTGATACTTGGATCTGGAATAGTTGATGTTGAAATGGATGATGTAGTAAGAAAGGCCCTTGCAGAACATAGAGCGACCATGTTTCCTGTTATTCTACCATATCGTAAGATTTCCAGCCAGGTTCATTGAGCCATTGTCTGAACGCTCTTCTGCCGCTGGTCATAATAATTTGCAGACGAAAGCAAACGTATCCATGTAGATCATGGTTTTTGAATGCATGTGTGAGTTGAAGCAAGAGTTACCGACAAAAAGGAGCACAAACACGAGTGGAGAATGTCTGCTCGAGCTTCCCTTCCTCCTCCACTTTGAAGATGCAGCTACCAGGCCTGTCTGGAGTATGTATTCAGTCGTTTTACCATATTCTCGCACATGAAAGAAGCTGTGAATTGGCTGTCTGTTCTGAAGCTCAACTCTCCACTGAGCGGAACAAATTTCTCAGTTTACTGATAAGCTCATCGGTCGATCGGTCCGGGTAAGTGAATCTAATCTCTGAACCAGATCCTGCTGTATTTTCGTCTAGCTTAAACGTGTCCTTATTGTGTGCTTATGAGGTCATCTTGACAAGCGCCGCCGTACTCGCCAATGAGTTTGATTTCCTCTGACTACGTTCGACTATGTTATAGCAATGCCCGCATATTATTGAGGCTTAGATAAACGACGGAAGATCTTCGTTTCTCAAAGTTTAAAATTGTAGTTTCGAAGCATTGGAACTTGCTCAGAATTTCTCAATGTCATAATAATTTGTCTAGATCTTCAAAAGTTGCAATATCGGGTGGATTTTAGAGGTAATATCTAATCTTTGAGTGTGTGATTGTCTATCTCGTTTGAAATTATTCATGTAGGCAGTACGAGCTCAGATTTGCACTTCATCAAGAAAGCTACAAATCCTTTCAATACTGCTGTCGTGAGGTCATCACAACCGCAACATGTAGAGAGAAGCCGAGTTCATGGGTGGGTGCAGATATGAAGTTGACACAAGGAAGCTTGGCCATGTTAGCTGCAGTCTTTGTACCTTGTGGTGATCTCTCTGCCACGATTGGTTCTTTGAGATACGGATATCACGACTTGAGGGCCTTGATGACAGTGTTTTCCGTGAACATTTCTTCGAACTCATATCAACGCTTCAGATTGAATTTTTGAGCTTCTAAAATATGGTGCTTGTTGGCGATTCAAAAGAATGTTTTCATTTTCGAATATTCAAAAATATCACCTTACCAGTTCTGATACGTCTTGTGTAGGCATCTAACAACTCAATCCATTTATCAACAAGGGAGCGTGATCTGAAAAAAAGGTCAACTCCCTTGTCGAATGAGTAAAATTAAGGCGTTGGTTCAACACGATTTCAGCTATTGGCGCTGAACAATTTCACTATTATAAGTGCAGGCTGTTTGAATCCCTTAGAGCAGTATGATAGCAAGTGAATACTACAAAATGGGCTCTCTGAAAAAAACTCTCTGTTTCTTTGGTGTCAATTGCGGTACAAAGTAGATGTAGTTGACAGCTGAAAGTATTGTTGAATTCTTTGTGTGTCTGATAGGGGAGTCAGGTGCATGGTGCTGGAACTTAAGCCTTCTGTCGGAAAGGAAACTACACGACGTCTACGAGAATGAAGGACAGAATCCGTGGTATAACAAGCTCAGGAGGCCGATGCCAGAATTGAAATTTCTTATTCGAATTGGTTTTCGCGGTGCTACCAACAATTCCTCGATACGGACATGTAATGCTGTTGGCGATCTCAATGGGGATAGATGGCTACATTGTACGGTTCCAAAAATCCTGGCGTTTTCGGAAAGCTCTTTTGGCACATTATGTAATCGGATTACTGGTGCATGCTGAGGTATTACTTCGTCTGACATTTATCTATGACGATCAATTTAGGTAACATATACTTGTATACAGCTATAGTAACTAATAGTCATGTCCGTCATTTTGCTGTTTCATTCTGAAAACATCGTTTGTATTTAGTCACGTGATAAATGATCCTCACTAGTCCGCTGTAGGAGTTTGATCTCATTGATATACAAGATGTTACATGAAACAAGCCAAGTGAGGAAGGAGGAACACGGAGTAGACGAAGTCTTCCGACGACTTGCTGTGACTGATATTCAGGATTTCTGTTGTTTGTTTCTACCTTTGTATGATTAGAGCGAGGATGGAGACGATTTTGTTTCGTTGGAAGTCTCACCAACAGTAGCTCACGATGGACATAGAACTGTCGCAGCAACTGACCTTTTGTACAAACTATTGAACCAGCCTAATCTGTACATCAAGATTCCCGCCACTGCCGACTGCGCGCCCATTGTCAAAAGCCTTATCTATTAAGAAATCAGCGTGAATGCCACTGTAAGTTCATAATGGCATTTCTGTAAGTTGCGAGATAGTCGCAATTTATACTCCACTTGACCTTCTACTCAATTTGGTACGTGCTGCGGGCGTAATCATGGATTTATATTATAGTTCATATTTTGCGCCAGGGAAAATCTTTTGAAACGAAAGCACTCCTTCTGATATTCCGAAAAGAGGTCCGTCTTTGGGTTCGCAGCTGGCTAGAGGTAAACCGTCACAGCAGATGGCCGAGGGTGGAAATTTGACCAAGAATATCCTTTCACAGCTCTCAAAGGATATTCTTGGTCATTGCAGCTGAGGTATGAAGCTGTCATAAATATCTATTTTGAAGGTCTGGAGGCAGTCAAGGCTCAAGATTTACCGAAAATCTGGAGTGTTACATGTCATTTAGTAGGTCGTATCGACGTACTTCTTCACAAGCGATTGGAAACGATCGGATCTGAGGACGCGCTTGCCCTTTATGCGACGTCAGTTCTCTACTGTTTGATTGCCGTTCCTCTCAAGGTAAATCAGACTTCCGGTTGCCCAAGCCCTCGCGCAAAGTCAGCGAGAAGAAGATGGTAATTTTCGCGAGCCTTCTTCGCATGGCGTGAACTTGCCTCGATGTATGGGCTGGATGCCGAAGTCTAGATCGCTTGCCTTGTCACAGGCAGCAAATGCCCGGTCCTCGTCTTCAAGCTCTTCCAGGAGAAATTCTGCGGTCCTCAGTGGGAGGGGCTAACTAGCAGCGACTCTTGTGGGCCTCAACGGGTGTACAGAACTCGGCTTATCCCGATGCTTCGTGTCTCGCTCCTTCGGTCGGTCCCGACATGTTACATTTTCCCTGCCCCTTGGAGTTTTTCGCGCAAGTATTATTACAGCGCTGTGAATGGTCAGATCTTGGAATTTGCATGCAAGAGAGCTCTGGGTGAGTTAGCTGAATCTGAATGTCCAGTCTTGGCGTCTCCTGCCAGCGATTCATTGGAGACCTACTGTGCGGAGATTCTTAATTGCAATGATTATTTTGTATGATAGAAGGGGACAGTAAGATTTCATCATGCGTGATGATGCGCGATATGCTTGACGATGTAGTTCTGTCACGAGGCCCACACATACTGATGTTTGAATATTCAACGCAGATAATTTCTATGCCTCTTGATGCCTTGGAGGAGCTCTTTGAAGAACTATTGATGCAAACACGTTTGAAGCACCATTTCGATGAACCATGGATGCAGACTTGGTAGAAGAAGGGAGACTACAGGAGAAGGTTTAAGCATTGGGCATTCAGTGGGCTGATTTGGATGTGGGTTAGAGATGAAGACAGGAGAGAATAGGCTGTTAAAGGTTCTAGGAAAAGGCCGGTAGGCTGTAGAGGAGCTTAAAGAGAAATCTGTTATTGAAAGAGAAGGAGAAACCCAACAGTTTGTGATATGGACAGCTTCAGTCGCCAACATCACATCCAGGCTATCAAAGACCGCATCCGCTTTTTTTTTATGGGAACAAGGTAGATATTTCACGTAGCATCTTTTATGATAGCCATTCACATATGTACAAGTATATACAGGGTTCTTTTGACTATCGACTCTTTACAATTTTGGCGATCGGGTTCAATATTAAGAAGCTGTCAACGATTTGGATACTTAGGCATTGATAAATGGATTATGTGGAAGGAAGGACAACTTTACTTGAGTAGCGATATATTTTGGAGTATACTTTCGACAAGAAGCTCACAGTATCTTCATGTACATCAGAGCCCGCTCTCTCGAAAGATCGGGGCAGGTCAGCATTATTTCATTTACATGTTTGATCAGGATAGAGGAGAAAAGCGGATTAGGAGCTCCTTCCCATGCTTCATATGGTTTCTATTCCGGTCATATGAATCTCTGTTGTGTCTGGACCGTTTGATCTATATAGTTGGTAAATCTGCAGTGCAGTGGAACTTTTTTCCCCTTGCGATGCGGTTAGGGCTAGCCCGGTCATATTCCCTTAGATTCATGCATATACGAACTCGACGGGCTCTGCAACCCTCGTTTTTACCAAACTACTTCGTGTCTTCTTGCTGTCCTGAGAGTGGACAATGACGAGAGGTTCTCAGCCAGTTAAACTTTCCAGTACGACGCAACTTTCAGAATTTCTTGATGCAATGCTTTTCTCGGAGTGAGCTGCCCTGTCCGAGTCAACGGGCCGTCCGCAATATGTTATAAGAACAAATGGCCAATGATGGCCTGTTATTCTTAGAGCAGTATAAATACTCGTGCGGTCTCGAAAAATTGCCCATTAAAATGGTAATGGTAAATGGTAAATGCGTTAAAGAAGCGTTGGATGCAAGCTGTCGCTCATCCGTCTGTGTATCATCTTCAGAGTGAAACAAGACTTGAAATGTCCAACAAAATAATCGTTGGAACCAAAAGACGAACAAAAGTTCCTTCTGTAGTCTCAGATTCTCATGAAAAAACCCCCGGCTGATTTACTTTTCACCCTCTTGCCTCTTACACGTCGCTGCGCCTCTGCCGAGAGCCTGCTTGGTCTCAGTCTGCATACTCCAGTGGATTTGGAGCTCGTGGAAGCTCTTGGTAGACGGAACAAATGGTTTGAAACACCTGCAGCTGGGAAGATGGACGAGTTTTTCACGAGCGGCTCAGGAAGATTGCTACAACAGGATGAACCCAAACGAAATCAGGAGAAGCATGGAAATGTGATCGAGTAATCAGCGATTCTCCACTAGGACCGCGATTCTGTTCATTGAAGAGCATCCGATATAGAGTAAAAAACCATGGAAAATACATGTTACATTTGCAGAGCCAGCCAAGCAGATCGGCGGTCAACTCCCGCCGATGACAGTCCCAGACAGACCCGATAGCAAAGATATTTCTCGGCCTCTTATGGACCGAGAGTCTTTCTAGTAGCGAGCATTCAGTTCACTTATCCACTATGATACACTCTGATCCATATGTTGAATTCTCCCAAAACTCTGCCTGTCAAAAACGCTTCCATTCGTGTTCTCGTCGGATGCCCATAATCTGTACAATCATTGCTGTAGCATAGGTTTTCATTAGAGATCAACTTGTGCAAACGAAACACGGATGATTGAGGAGTGTTAGGCTCCAGATGCTTTGTCCAGGGCTCCCCGTTCTGTCGAAGAAACGCAGGATCCAAAGTGGGCAAAGGGACAGTGACATAGAATTCACGAGACATGTTACATCCACCATCAGAAACCTCACATTTCTAGAACAGCAATTGTGCAGAATCCTGCGAGGCTCAGGCCATTCTGAGGTAGGCGCGTCAGAATGCTGCAGCTCTGTGCAAGTAAGCATGCGATGGTGGCATACTTTTTCTCGGGAACCAGAAGCGCGGACCGAAGATGTGATCGGGGCGTTCGCAAAGGCTGGACTCGGCACTTCTGGGCTCCCAAATTTCGGAGAGGAGGATCGTCTGCGAGCGTCCAAACAGTTTTGCTGCAACAAAAGGCTGTATATACAGGATCAGTGGGAGGCGCCGAGGCTCGTTCGAAGCGGGGAATGAATCGGCCGGCGGCGCGAGATCAATGTCGGAAAAAATTGCGAATCAGCCGCACGAGGGTGACGTTGCCGCTGATCCCGCCCAAGGGCGTGGAGCTGCGGGGGAGCAGGGGCTCGGCCTCGTCGGGCGTGGACAGCGACGAGTTGTCGTGGGGCGAGAAGGGGTTGTCATCGGGATTGGGCGCGAAGGAGGTCAGATTGGGCGACGACTTCAGCAGGTCCTCCATGCGGTAGCGCAGCGCGACCTGGTGGTACGGGAAGGCCGGCTTCGAGGGCGGCACCAGCGGCATGGGCACGACGCCCTCCAGAATGTCCACCACCTGGCGCATAGACGGACGGTCGTTGGGGTTTGGGTGCGAGCAGAGCAGCCCCAGCAGCAGCAGCAGCTCGGCCTGCGCCGCGTCGTACTCGCTCTCCAGGCGCGGGTCCACGACGCTGAGCAGCGCGCCGGCGTCGAGCCGGCTCCAGACCCAGTTCACCAGAATGGTCTCGTCGGCCGCCAGCCACTGGTCGAAGGCCACGCGGCCGCAGGCCACCTCCAGCGCCACGGCGCCGAAGGCGTACACGTCGGTCTTGTCGGTGAAGCGGCCGGTGACGGGCACCTCGGGCGCGATGTAGCCGAAGGTGCCGGCCACCATGGTGGTGGCGGGGTTCTGGTGCCGGTCGACCATGCGCGCCAGGCCGAAGTCGCCGAGCATGGCGTTGAAGTCCTGGTCGAGCATGACGTTGCTAGACTTGATGTCGCGGTGGATGATCTGCTGGCGCCAGCCCTCGTGCAGGTAGTGCAGCGCGTTGGCCACGCCGGCGATGATGCGGAAGCGGTGCGCCCACGACAGCACCCATTCGTCCTCGTGGAAGAGCGCCTTGTCCAGGCTGCCGTTGGGCATGAGCTCGTAGACGAGCAGCAGCTTGTCGCGGTCGCTGCACCAGCCCAGCAGGCGCACGATGTTGCGGTGGCGCAGCTGGCTGATGATGGACACCTCGGCCACGAACTCGCGCTTGCCCTGCTTCGAGTTGTTGCTCACGCGCTTGACGGCCACCGGCTGCTTGGTCTTGGGCATGACGCCGCGGTACACGCTGCCGAAGCCGCCCTCGCCCAGCTTCGACTCCTCGCGGAAGCGGTCGGTGGCCGCGCTCAGCTGCTTGTAGCTGAAGCGCAGGCTGTCGGCGATGCCCAGCAGGTCCTCCACGTCCTCGAAGGCCTCGGCGTCCGACGCGTACTTGCGCTCCCAGACGCAGAGCCCGATCAGCAGCGCCGAGAGCACCACCAGGATCACGGTGCCCACCACGAAGCCCGTCACCAGGTCCTCCTTCTCGTCGTCCGGCAGCACGGCGAAGCGCCAGTCGTACACGGTGTAGAAGTTGTGGCAGCTGCAGAGCCCGTTGGAGCCCGAGAAGCCCACGTACACGGGCCCGCTGTCGTCGAACACGTCCATCAGCAGCAGCGAGTGGTTGAGGAAGGCGTGCGCGGGGCGCGAGGCGTTGGCGCTGATGCGCACCTCCAGAGTGCCCGCCGCGGCGTCCAGGTCGATCCATGCGTGCACGGGCGCGCCGCCGTACAGGATGATGCCCACGTCCGAGGCATCGCGTGAAGCTTTGGAGGTGAGGTTGTCGAGGTCCACGCCCACGTGGTTGTTGCTGATGTCGCCGAAGTCCAGGTTCCGGAACGTGTCGAACTCGATAGCCAGCGTCTTCACCAGCTGCTGCCCGTTGCCGTCGTACACCCCGAAGGCGCCCCCGGGGCTGCCCGGCCACTGCGAGACGTTGAGCACCACGAAGGCCATGCCGTCGCCCGGGTGCAGGAAGTCGGCCGGCTCGATCGAGAAGCGGAAGTAGGTGCTGAACCCGTGCCACCGGTTCTTCTTCACGTCCAGCAGCTGGATGGGCACCGTGTACAGCGCCATCCCGTACGTGTTGTAGTAGAACTCGTCCGGCCGGTTGCGGCTGGTCGGCGTCAGCGTCAGCGCGCCCTCGGCCGCCACGCTCGACGTGCTCGCGTTGCCCCCGCACCACAGATTACCCCGCTCGTTGCACTTGAACGGCGCCCCGTCCGTGCCCAGCGTGAAGTTGGCGCTGGCCGTCTCTACGTGCGGCCGCGCCCGCGCGCCTCCGCAGGCCAGCGCCAGCAGCGCCAGCCCCAGCAGCAGCCGCCTCATCCTTGCCTGCGGTGGATCAGCGAGGCGCCGGCGCTGCTCCCATGGCCGATTGCTAGCTTGCGAGCTAATTCCTCCCCTCTGACATCGTCCCCCTCCGAATTCGAGATCGATCCCTCTCGCTGAAGTTCCGATCGCGCACGGCCTGCCCGCAGACGCTTGCAGCAAGCTATGACCACTAGCCGGGGCGACTGCCTGCAGATCTAGTCTCTCGGACACGGATCCATGCGGACCCGCAGCGCCTCGACCCGATTGGCGCTCCCTCGGATCCCCACGAGCACCACTGTCAAGATCGGAACATGAGACGTGTTTGGGATAGTCTAGCGATCAGCGTTCCCCTTCTTTCCTTCGAACCCCGGTGCCTCCTCGAGACTGGCACAGGGTGCCAGCGCATGCCCCTCGGCTCATGATACTGCCTGCTGCTCGAGGTCATGGAGATCGATGAGCTCCCGGGCTCGCACGCTGGCTGGGCTGGCCTGTCCTCGCAGCCTCCAGCACCATCCGGATCGGGATCGGGATGCTGGCCGGGACCGATCGCGAGCACTGGCTGGTTCTGTGAGCCGAGCTCTAGATCCGAGCCATGGCGCTCTCGCTTCCGCCTGCTCGCATGACTCGCAGGACTCGGTCAGTCCGTCCGCGGGCTGGCGAGCGAGCGAGTGGCTTCGCTCTCATGAAAACGGCATTATGCAGATGGCGAGCCCGAGCTTGATGCTGGGCTCGCCTCTTGCCGAATGCTGTCAAGCGCATGCATCCAGCGCCAGTGCAATGATTGATGGAAGGCACCATGGCCCTGCACCAAATCTAATTCACCGCGCACGCTACTGCAAATGCTCCCCCTTCCCGGACCCCGCCCGAGGACGACTTGGGCTCAGATCATGCGCTTCATTCAAGCCATCATGCGATCACGATGGCGCAGGCCACGGGCATGTTCTTGATGCCGCCCAGGAACTCCTGTCGCCGGCATGTCCTCCTCTCCGAGCGAGTCGTGCAGTGTTCCGGACTCGAATCTTATCTTCGCCCTTTTCTCCTCCCAGGTCCCGAATCACCAGACCGGCCATACCCCGAGCGGGAAACGCTCCTACCGCCGCACCGGCCCGTGCCAACTCGAACCTCTGCTGCGATGAAGTGTAGCCGATCCTCTCGCTTCGTGTAAATTGCAGCTGACGAGGGACGGAGCCATCGAGAACAAAATCTCTCCCGCGCACACGACGGCGCAGCCACAGCCATTTTCATTATTTGAAGATATTCTTGGCCACAGCCATTTTCATTAGAGTGTAATATGTGCCGAGGCAATCCATCCGTTGCCGACGCCATTATGGCCTCTCCCTATACCACTTATCCGCACAGTTTCCAGCCTCCATTACCACCTGATTACGTGAGAGCTTCCCAGCACGGATCACAGCCGGGAACGCTGCGAGCTTCTTTCGGGCCAAAATTGTGGAGACGTAGGTTGGCAATACAGCGATCGGGTCGAAGGGACTGAGTGGAAATTCGCTGAAAATCCGTATACTCTCCCTGCCACCAGTTTGCTGATGTGTGAACTGGTGCAGGGAAAGTATACGATGGCTGCGTGATGCGAGTCTTCCATTCCATATCTCCAAGCCTTATCCAGCTTAAGGTACAGCCGCGCTTCCACTGAATTTCTGGGAGAGCCCTCTACAGCCTGCGGAGTGAATCCATGTTCCAGGGCTCCATTGAGGCACTTTCCTGTGATCACGATGGATGCTCCAGCTGTGCAGCTTCGAAGTAGGGAACCGCTTTTCCTGTTCTCAAGCTGAAAACCATGCATGAGATGGCGGGGAGGAGCAGAAAACTGCGTCTTCTTTGACCGCCCTCGCTGCATCAAGTTGCAGGATAGGATACGACAAGTACACAGGTCTTCCTTTTTTATTACTCTACTTTCGAACCTTCCCAACGTCGAAGACAAACGTTAGTCTATCGCATGAGAGAGCGTTGCAGACGCCAGGAGTCAGGATTTGGGAATGCCATCGGCATCTCTCAATTGCCATGTAAGTCAATGGATTGAAGACATTTAGCGCCTACTACAGGTGCATACAGCTAAAACCTGTGCTCTCAGGCGGGAGTGTATGTTATTAGGGAATGTGGATGGGTATGCTTTAGCGCACAAGACAGACAGACGTCTGGTCTCTGCGCTTGCGTGCCTTGGCCCTCTAGAGCACAAGTAGCGTGCTGCAATTTCATGCCCAAGGCCTCAAGGCCAGAGGCACGTGCGCTATGCACGCTAGGAGGTGAAGAACCGGTGTGTCATTTGCCCTCTTTAGCTCACGAGTCTAGGCTCTGGAGCAGTCTCACCTTCATTCAGAAGCCCTCGAGAACCATGCATGCAGAATGCATGGTCTTCGAACGGGCACTCGTAAGTGACATCAATGCAGAAAGTTTCCTTCCACGAGGATGTATTGCGACGCTTTTCTTTTACTTGTTCTGCACGTGAGATATATACCCAGACTGGTCCGCTATCAAGATTTGTATGATTCTAATTTGTATCAACGCAGAAAGTGAATAGTCCACGCAAAGCCGTGAGTTTCGTCTTTGAGGTGATTAGTAAGCATCGTGAACCTCCCCGTATGACAAACCTCAACCTGCTTTATTTCCTTCTCGTTTGTCATTCTGGTGCCAAAGATTTCACATGCTTGCTTCTTACAACTCCTCCAATTTGGTCGCTTCTTTTTCATCTCTTGGGCTCGTTAACATATGAAAACTGCATAAGATTCATAAAAGTATCTCCTCCCACTCCTCTCGCCTGCCTCAGTGGTACGATTTGATTAGAACAAATGATATTCCTGCAAGTTGAGCTTAAAAGAAACCTGAATTTGTTTGATGCGGGAATCATCTCATGAAGACAGCTTTTACAAACTTTCAAAAGGCCAATTGAGTGCAAGGAAGAGCTCCATGAGAGTGGTTCAATAGCTGAATATTCATGAAAATCCCTAGTTTAGGCAATCGCAGCCTCAAAGCAAGCCTTATAATCGCAAGGGCACAAGCATCTGGGTGCTCTTGCACAATCAAAGTCTAGTCACTTGGAACCATGAGGTAGAGAATGTACAGGCTCTCGTGACCCGTACAAGATTCGAAACATTTCATTTGGTTTAAACATTTCCAAACAGAAATCTGCCGTTTCCGGAGTTTTGGCCATTTGGCTGTAAACCCGGGGCATATCTGTCCTGGCTCCGCTCCTGAAGCAGCTCGTGCGCCATGGTAGAAGTGCTGGCATCTCGACATACTTACAATACTTTTACCCTCGCCTTTTCTATGAACTTGGAAAGTTTTCCCGCCTCTGTTGAAGATGGCGTGGATAAGAATTGTATTACACTAATTACAGTTTTCAGTTACCTCTCTCTCATCGAAGCTGATGCACGTTGAATATAGCTCTAAAAAACGACGTTTTCGACATTTTGCTCCTAGAGTGAGTCTGGTCCGATGTTCCTGACGAGCGGGAAGATTCGTCCGACTTCAGAAGTGGTTGTTACAAGGATGATCCATGAAGTCTTCTCTTCATTACACCTTCAAACGGCATCCTCCTCCGTTGTTCGGTATACAAAACACACTATCCAATTCCCTCCGAAGTTTAAGGGTAATAGAAGGATCAAACATACGATACACTCTGACCTGCATGGAAAGAAGTTTGGCCTGAGGTCGATGTTGCACTTTACACGAGAAAGCCCTCGCTGCTACAATAAGTTACATAAAAGGTCGATAGCAGGTTCCTTTCAACTTTGGATAGCTAAAAAAGAACTCCAGCCGATAACTCCTCACACTGAAGAAACGGCAGAATCATCAAACAAATCTGAAGGCAAGTAACTAAGCAGTTGGCTGATCTGCATGAGGAGCCGGAGCACATGACTATTTCTCTTGTGAAGATATAAGTAGTAGATCCGAATTTGCTGTCCCGGATAGTAAATGTGAGGCAATAATCTTAATGTAGCACTAAAGTGGAAAGCCTACAACCTCAAATTTATTACTAACGTCTTTACTGTCGATTTACACACATCACCCGGGTGTGTATTTGGAAATTTGACATTCTCGTTTCAACATAATAAAAGCTTGCACAGAGGAAGACTGACTTGGACGACTCCGACGATTTCGACTAGATCTTCCTCGTTCTTCTCCTTCCACATCGTCCATAAGAAGATTTGAAAGTGCCATGACGAAGGGATAGTTCTACACGGAAGTCCAGATGTCCTTACTGACACGACAACGGACTGTCACCACAAGACCATCCACAACCAGTTCAGGAAATTCAAACGAAGGCGTACATAGACAAAGAAAAATAACAAAATCAAGGGTCAAACGTGATAGTTCGTAGTTTACAAGTGATACCTTTGCTCATTAGCAGAATTCCCAACATCTCTGCTTCTCGGATTGTACTTTTCGATAAGTTTCACAATCTTCTGATGTAATGATCTTCCTTCCAATGCAAGGAAAAATTAATTTCCTCAAAGACTCTCTTGGGGTTGCCAATATCGAATTACTACGAAATATTTCCTCGTTGACACTTAAGCTTTTTGACTTGAACAAATACTCAAACTATGATGAAGTACACTGCTTCACCTATCTGATGCAACCTCCAAGGTGGAACACTTCATAGATGTAGTGTCAAGTAAAGTAGCATTAAAAGACAAGGTAGCTCAAGACTCGAATCTCACGTCTGAAGAACAGAGACGTGGCCATAGATCTTCTGGCAAGACGTGACCATAAATTTTCTCGACATAGTAATGTACAAGGATTATCAAATCGGAATTGATAAGATAAACAATGGATCGAGGGGAGTCAAGAGGAGATTTGAGAAAAGAATCAGGACACTCACGACATGAACGTGATCCAGGTTTTTGGTGACTAATATTCGGTGCTCATCGAGGTCCGATCGCTAGTCACTCCTAGTATAACAACTGGTCGCGGCGCTTCTGTATCTATCTACCAGACCTAGATCCTTCGTTTCACTCTCTTCATTAAACTTCTTTCTAGATCTTTTCTGCTTTAAAAAGCCTCTTCTAAGTTCTAAAAAGAAGAAAAATGAAAAGTAACTTGATTCTACCTTCTGAAGCTTGGAATACAGTGGTCTAAATCTGCAATCCAAGTACGTCTGGAACCCTCCTGATTAGCGACTTTCGAATGGATAAAAATTACCTTCGAAGTTTTAAGCCAGCTCAGCCAGGGCGTCTATGATGTCCAGGCTATCATGCAAGCAAATACTAACGCAAATAGGAACATACCTACTTGACTCCTAAATGTCAAAACTCAGGGGATAACATCCTACATGCAAAGAGACAAACAAGTGCGACAATGTACCCTGCGGAAGCTCCGACTACGATCTTTCTCGAGTCTACACCCAACGCCTGACGCAGCAAGGAAAACCCAAAAGCGGCGAAAACGCATCCGCAGACCGCTACCATCCAGTTTTCAAAAAATTCTACCAAAGTCAGAGGGACAAAGCTTGCACAACTTGCACCTATAGAGCCAAGACATCCTGTAATTAACAGTCCTAGCAGAGCAGCACCTGAGCTATTAGTTCCACCAAAGATAGTGGTCGTAACAACTACACCTCCTGAAAAACTGTGAAAAAAGGCTGCCAAAAGAGGGTGCCCGATTGTTGTGGATGGTTTCGCAATTACCACGCCCAAAAGAAGGCCTTCGCCCAGTACATACAATCCCATACAAATAGTGGCTAGTAACGAAGTTCTACGCAAGGGACTCCTCATGTCGATCAGGCCACTCTGTGCCTTCTTCCTTTCCTTGTATTCCGAAGCGGAGACAGTATCCAGAAGGAATCTTCCTGCAACACTAAAAAGTAGAGCTCCAGCCACAAGAAGCGCCATTGTTGAGAAGAATCCCACATCTCCTTGAAGCCAGAACTGCAGCGGTGGCCATGAGGCAAGCACGAAGGCGATACCACATCCAATGCCGATCAACAGCAAGGATGGTAATCTAGTGGTCTTCAAAACAAACAAAAGCACCAGACCACCTACAATGTGTCCCAAACCGAACAATATCGCTGCCTTTGCTGATATTGCGAGCTGCATTCCTGAAAACTTGTCAATGTCTTGAAATGTTGTGCTGAGAATTTCCATGCAAGCTACTGATAGTGTAGCTGCTGAAGCCACTTGTGAATGCGATGCATCTTTAAAACTTTCAGGGATGACTTCAGCTAGGACCATCCACACCATGCAACCGGCTGCGAACCCCATGCACAGCGGCAAGAACTTCTGAAAGGCCTGCGCACAGACGAAAGCTGGAACTGCCACCAAAGGTTGTGGTAATGAGGTGAATATACTCCAAAGCATAGCATGATGAGCTCGGACACCTCTTGAAGTTAATACCATGCACACTGCCATGCCCTCAGGGATATTATGAACCGCAATGGCTATACTCACGACCAGTCCTTGAGGAAGGCCCTGCGGACCTGCATAAGATACTCCCACACCTGCACCCTCACCTAGGGAATGTAGAAACATGATACCGATCACCAGCACCATCTTGCGAGCATCCGCGCCCTTCAGTTCCATCATCTTCACATCCTCGTACTTGTCCAACACCTTTTGACAGTAAAATATGAAAAAACTACCAAAAAGAATACCGACAACCACCCAGGTTCCCCCTCCGTGCTTTTGTCCTTCCTGTATAAGATCAAAACTGGCTGCCAGCATGACGCCCGAAGCTATGCCGTTGCAGATTCCAGCATACTGAGCTTCAACTTTCATAAAGAAAAATGGTGTCGCACCTAAACCTGTGACCACTGCCATCAGAAGTGTAAGCATGGCTACCAAAGAAACATCCGCCCCTCGAATCCCATGGTCGACAACAAGTTGTTCTCCAACAATGTCCGCCATTCTGAATCCCCACCAAACGTCCAGAGACACGAGTGCCCTGTCCACGTCAGCACACGACCCTGGATTCGCAAATGCCCTTGTCGGTAGCTCACATTGCCAAGGCTTTAGCTCTGTAGGATCCTTGTGGAATTCGTCATTAACTCACATTTTGCATAAAAAGTACCTCTCTTGAACTCAACGATTGCGCACCTCACGGATGCAACTGAGAGACTGCGATCACTATCGAATGGTGCAAAAAGTATTTCCTCGACTGAAGTTGGCACCCTCATGGCTCCACTGATCATGTTATCTTATTTCATGAACATGATCTTCCAAAATTGTAATGTACAAGGCCGCAACGAATGACAGAAAAAACGGCACGCAGTTCTGTACAAGCCGTTGGTCATTCATCACCGAAGTGATGAAACCAAATAGTCCTACTACCTACTTGGTTACCCAGAAACACAAAGGCTTCCGCAACTCCTCTATCCGTCTCTGTCTCAAACCGCTAAATCGACAGCTCAAGATCAACGCGAGAAGACCTCCATCCGACATGTCATCACGATGAGCGATGAGCAGCAGAAAAAGCCTGACTGAAAGCTCTTCAGAAATAAAACCAATCCGTATCTGCACCTGGGTTTGCTTCTCGTGATGCCAGCAAACTCCACGCGCTCGAAGAGTCTCGTTCTCCAACGCGGCGGCCTTTTCTTTATCCAGAAAGCGTAGAGAAAACCTCGTCCCCAGATTTCAGACGCAGGACGAGGGCGTAGAGAAACAACCGACCTACAAATTGCACGCAACGGAGCGTGAATACATTCTCGTTCGCACTACACGAACGAACCCCTGTCTCCTCCTCCTTCACCTCCTTCCTCCTTCGACCGAATGCCGTCAAATCAAGCAGCCTACTCGCGGTTACATGTACCGCTGCCTGCCACCAACATTAACAATTCAATCGCTGAAGCGAGTGACTGCTCCTCCCTCATCACTCGACAATTCCCTTCAGAAGGATGGTTTCCGATGCTGCCACGATTTCGGAATACTTCTGCTAAATCCTTGCGCGACTGGAATCGCCTGCCTCGTGCGCCCCGCCTCTGTCAGAAACAGCATTCCCTTGGCTGCATCAGCCTCCAAGCTCATCCCATCGCTTCCCTGCCTTTCGCGATTTGATGACGAGGCAGAGGGAGCGACCCTCGCAAAGACGGGCGCACAGAGCGATCGAAGGAGAGATGAATTTGCTTGTACCTGCTCTTGCGGATCGCGCCGGTCTCGCAGAAGTCGCATCAGGTACATGGATGCCGACCTCCGACGTCGCGCCGTCTGGGTGCGTGACGTGAAGAGAGTCGGGCCAAGCTGTCGAATCGGAGCATTCGAGAGCTGGACTTCGACTTCCGGTTCAGGTGCACTGGATGACCGACGCCGCGATTCGACAACTTTTGCCGAAGCTCTGCGACGATGCTTACGACGATCTTGGGGGCCGGTTCCCAGCCAGGGTCGCTGAGCCATCTGCGCCAACTTCCGGTAGGCTCTCGACAACAGGTTTTGGAGCTATGTAGCCGCTCTTCTTTCGACGCGTGTCAAGCCTCAAGCTGTGATTGGTTACAATTGCGGAAGCAACGGGCGAAGAGGTCTATAGCCTCTCCAGATCTTTCACCGACGCGTGTCCTACGTCGTCTAGAGTTTAGCGCAGTGCTTCGCTCCGCCCTTCAGCTGCAACAGCCATGGACAATTTGTATTTCCTCTCTTCTGTTGACATCATAGGATATCCCACAATTCAAACTCCATAGAAGGGATTGATACTTAAAAGAAGTGTTTTTTAGAAGACGTTCCAATGGCATTTCCCCCCATTGCTGTAAGGGATCTGTGTAATCCTTCAGAAGAGATATATGGACTATATTCATCACCAAACTATTGATTTACGAAACTCCATATATTCTCGCATGTACTTATTAGGAAAAAGGTGCTAAGTTTGTGAATTGTGAGAGATTAAAAGATTTGATAAGGCTCCAAGAAGTATCATCTTATCATGTAAAAAGTGTGTTAAGGATGCAAAACAAGAGATATGATAGGAAAATCATATGGAATGTAAGATTAAAAGGTTTGATAAAGCTCCAATCAATGTTATCTTATTAAAATCACAGTGTGATAAGTATGGAAAAGAAAAAATGTGATATGAAAAGCCACTTGTATGGAGTACAACCATAGTTAGTCAAAAATGTTGAGGTTAACTCCGGTTAATGAGTAACCTCAGGCTATTTATAGCTAGTTGTGTCGCTGGCTTTGGGTATAAGTATAAACCCAAGGCTTCTAGCATTGTGTATTCAATTGTCAATAAACTTTCTCAGTGTTCCAACCGTGGACGTAACACTTGAGTATGAACCACATTATATGAGTGTCTTGTGTTTTCGTACTTGGATTGAATGATTCTTGGTTTTACATTAAGAATTGACATCAAAGCCGGTTGGCGGTTTGGAGTATGCAATTAGTAAATTTTTTTCAGTCTGTTTCTTTTTTTTTCACGTGTTTTAATTTCCGTTGACGTTTTTGTATGAAACGAGTGACAGGTTATTTTTCTGAATGAGATCTTTTCTTTTGCGATTGTGATGGTCTGACAAGTTTTGATTCGATGTAATAAGTCTTGTAGTATGAGTCGAAGGCAAACATTACTATTAGATTTTTAATCGTTGATAGTTTTTTGTCGATGAAGGATTTTTTGCTGCTGACAAGTTTTTGACGGTGACGAAAATACAGTTGCGGGTAACGGTAGTTGCGGGTGACAAATATTTATGTCGCGAGCGACGGTGGTCACGGAGGATGGGAGTCGCGGGTGACAGATTTTTCAATTGCGGGCGACAAAAATTGCGGATGACGGATATTTTTTGTCGCGGGCAATTAGAGTCGCAGGTGACATAATTTTTCAGTCGCGGGCGCTTGTGGTCACAGGCAACAGGAGTTGCGGGTGATAGATTTTTTAGTCGCGAGTGACGGATATAGTCGCGGATGACGATGGTCAAGGCGACAGTAGTTGCGGGTGACAGACGCTGTAGTTGCAAGTGACGGTTGTCATGGGCAACGGTGATCACGGATCATCATGCTCTATAGCGGGCGACGGTGGTCGCAAGAAGAATATGCGCACAGGCGGGGAGTTCAAGCCAAACCAATTTTTTGCCCTGAAGATTCTGTTCCTCAAAAGATTCCGTCCTGTTTGGAGACTATTGCGTTTGTGCATATTTCGTTCCAACCACTCTTTGCCGGAATATAGACAAATTGGGTATCGTTGGAAAGCTCTTGACTCAACTGGTGCATCTTGAATATTTTTAGCAGTTGAAAATGCACCCAAATGACAAAATTGACGCAAAAGCAGATGTTGTCTATAGTTTTAGTCAAATTGATATGGCATCGAAACAAGTTGGAGTAACATGATACAACATCCTTACTCTTCATGGCCGAGATGATTACCCACTTTGGGAAAAGCAAGTGAAAGGCAAGCTGAGATCTATGGATTTCGCTAATGTGCTTAGAGACAAACCAATGCGCATTACCGATATTGACTGGAGGGATTCACAAGAGCAAGCAGTCTACATTGTGATGCGTTATCTAGATGTTTCGGATCAAGTTTAAGCACAATGCGTGCATAGCAATCAAAAATATCAATGTCAATTTATTAGTTGATAGTTTCAAATTTTGAAGACTATCACGTAGTTTAGTTTCATGTGCACATTGAACAAAATTTTAAAACTTGTTTATAAAAACAAACAAAGTAATGAACACTTTTGAGAGCTAACGGCTAAAATCCATGAGATATTTTTAACTTTCAACAATTAAAATTTGTGCTACACACAAGATCTGAACACAAAGTGAAAAATAAAATATAGCTCTTTCTTTTCTTTACAATCAGTAAAATCCTTGACAAATATTTTTACCTATCTAAAATCAACTATATTTCAAATACGTCAAAATTCTATTTTCAGTAAATACATTATATAAAATAACTTCTAAGTTATCATTCAAGATTACAAGATACACAGATGATACAATATTCTGAAGAATACTCTCTGTATTTTTGTTTCTTGCTGTCAACTCCAAGTATTCTCTCATTGTCAAATTTTTTTGGGCAAAAAATAAAATTTTAAATTTTTTTGGTATTCTTAATTGATATCATGGCATCAAAATCAAAAATATGAGTTTTGGACTAATTCTAATTTTAATAAACTGTAGATGATTTTTTGAAACTCATCATCTAATTCTAGAAGATTGGGTTCCATCCACATGTTTGTGTGAAATTAAAGGTTTGAAAACACACTCTCATGGAATCTTTTGAACTATCATTTAGCAAAAACTGACATTGGCATTTTAAAATCATTTGCAAATTTAAACTCTTGATGAAACAAAACAAAGATCTTTATCAATCTTGCTGGAGAGTTTATACTCTATTTTTTATCAATGAATACTTGAAAGATTGTGATGAATACTCATGGTAATTATTATCTAATTTAATTTCATTAAATTTAATCTTCAAAGTTTGGATTAATGTTCATGAAGAATAATTCATGATAACATGTTATTGATTTAACTAGAACTTATAGAAGTTTCTTTGTTCCTGAGTTGAGGTGGCAATCTACCATTGAGAATCTTGCATATTTTAGACTTTCAACTTCCCATTATAGTCTATCTTTAAAAATTTTTTACCCAAAAAAATTCTACTACATAATCAAACCAGTCAAAACCAACATGTTTTCAAAGTTTTTTCTCATGAAATTTTTTTTTTACAAGAGGCAAAATAGTGATGCTCATTTATAAACTAAAAAAATTTATTATTATGAGTTTTTCAAATATAAACTTCATAGCTAAACTTAGTTCAAACTAGCTAAACCTTGTCATGACTAATCTAATCATGGTCAATTCTTTGATTCATTCTAAAATCAATACATTCATACAACTACAGATTTTATAATACGTACGTGTTTGTATATCAAAAGTGAATGCAATTTTAGACTAAAAAAATAAGTTTAAATTTAGATTTGGTCATCAACTCGGATTGATTAGATTGATTTTTCTCTCTCTTGTATATATTTTACCAACAAATACAAGGATATTAGATCTTATCTACATCATCTATCTCATTTTTAAAGTGATGATGATATGAAAAATATATATAACAAGCACATCAATTGCTGCTATCGTATCTCTCTCAACTAAAAAAATAAGTAACACATTCAATTTTCACCTAACAAGAACACGGATTGTATACATATTGTTATCAATTAACACATTTATTTTTTTATCTATAAATCAGACAAAATTGTAACATGATAACTATAAACAATTCACTATATTGCTTTTCTATTTCCATCTTGAATAATCTTTACTCTAGTTTTAATTAAATAGATTATAATAGCACACTAATAGCAATTGATAAAAGAAGATTTTTCATCTTCATAAATTTAGTAATATTGGATTCCAAATATACTTCTTTGGATATCCACATGAATAGTTTGCAATTTAGTGAATATAAGATTGGAAGTTGCGGTCCAAACTATGCACCTACAGTCTGCGGTTGAGATGTCAAAATTATAGCCGTGACAATCAAATTAGAAATGTAAATACTTCGAGTTTGATTGTCACAGCCATAATTCCAATTCAAAACTCTGAACTCTTCTCAGCAGAGAAACAATGGATCATGTATTCAAAATGAATCTATCAATCTATGCAAGCTACAACTAGATTTTAAGGCTAATGTATTTAAAATCCACACAAAGCATCATCCTTGTTGTAATTTTTTTCTAATTTTGGATGCTTTTTGATTTTGTTTGGTTTGCTTTGAAGATGAAAATGAAATTGGAGAAACATTGTGAAGAGTTAAAAAATTGTGGAGAGAGTATTGCAAGCCAAGAGAATGAATTAGGATTTTGAGTAACAAAATGTATAGAATTTAAACCTTGGTGATTCATTTTTTCATTGGAGTGAAAAAAAAGATTCATTCATTTAGATATTACGGGAGACAATATCAAA